CTTTTAGAAGCTAGCTGAATGTGTTAGCTTTAAAATAAATTTAAAGCCCTTTGGAAAATAATGAGTTTAGACCCCCAAATGCCCGCCACTCGAAGAGTGTACAATATGTTTTGGGGGCTGTGTCACTCAAAAAGGGTAGGGTAATGATGATTACCTTAAACCCATCTTTAGTTCTTGAAATTTGGAAAAAAGTCTGTTTAACTCCCTTTTATGGTAGATATAAAACTTGGACATAAAAAGAATTGTGGAAGGTTCCTTTTTGGCAATGATTTGTGAAGTCAAAAATGTCAGATTTAGAATTTATATTCTGTCCAAATGGCAGCTTTTTGTGCAAAGGAATTGATTACAAAATATACACATTTCTGGACTATTTTTAAAAAAATTAATAAAAATATTAACTTTAATTCATAAAACCCATTGGCATTACATAATATATAACTCGACTTTATCTCTGTCGAGAACCCATAGGTAATCTAATTTCTGGTCATTGGACAGTTTAGGAAGGTTAGGGCAGGGAGTTCAGCACTTGAGACGTCATCAGATCCTTGGATATTCATCGACTAACAAGTGAGTTACTTTTAATGTTATTTGTTTATTTAAACTGGGGGAAAAGCATGAAGTTATGCAACCTATACTTTCTTTACAACCATTGGACTAAAGAAATGTTTAGTCAAAACCATTGGACTAAAGAACTGTTTAGTCGATGCTTTGTTTAAAATCTTTGGACTAAAGAACTGTTTAATCAAAACCGTTGGGCTAAAGAACTGTTTAGCCAAGTTTTGTTTACTGTTTTGCACTATGATATAAATGCTAAATTGATGTGCTTGGGAGTATGTTTCAAAATAAAGTCCTCGTCCGTAAACGCTACTTGTTAACTCGGGCATGTCCCAGGGCCATGGTATTGTGGATAGCCGCTATTGTGTTGACAGTCACACACAGAAAGGGGAGCACATTACCTATGTTTTGTTGGTCTAATCATGTGGAATTTGGACCACCGCTGAATTAGTACTACTACGAACTATGGGACCTAAGTGAGTGTACGAGCTACTTATGGTCGTTCGTAAAATAATGGGGTGCATTGGTCGGGAAAGGCTCAGTAGAGTCTCAAGTTTTTAAACATCGTTATAGATTTACATTTAATATGTGCAAAAATTGTGTATAGTTTTGCAAGAAATGATTTATGCATTGTAACGTTTTGTGTATGTGGAAACCCGTGAACTCACCAACTCTTTGTAGTTGACTTGTTTTATGTTTCATGCTTTTCAGGGAGTAAGTAAGAAATGAAGTTTGTGGAGCATATTTGTGGCGATACCGATTAAGTTCATTGCTGAAGTTTTTGTAAAGAAGTTTTCTATTCCATCTTGGTAATGGATGTTAAATTGAACTTGTTAGGATCGAATAACTCAAATTCTTGGTACTAAAACTTACTTGAATGATCGGTTAGATAGTAGTAGAGCAGCGGAAACAGTATCAATCAAACAGGTAGAAACAGTAAGAACACAATGAAGAACAGATGATGAACACAAAGAGAATTGCTTCATATGATTTTCAATAGATTGAAAATATCGACGATTACAAATCTGGAAGCACACAAAATACAAAGGCCTACGCTGCTATTTATACAAGCAAGTAACCGTTTCCTGACACGACCTTAAGCTGTCAAATCTAAGCCGTTCYTCTAGAACAAATTACAGACAAGCTCACGTGAAAGTCATGATCAGCTAATAAACCTAAGTAAAATAAAACGTGCTTAAGATAATCTATACAGAAGACATTTCTGCAGATCCTCTGTGAGAATTCATAGAGGCTCTGCTTGATGAAACTTTGTAGAGCGTAGAGGAAATCTTCCAGAACCTCTGTGAGACACGACAGAGGTTCTGTCATCTTTGACTTGTAGCATGGTGTTCACAGAGGAGAAGTTTCCAGAACCTCTGTGTTGGATGACAGAGGTTCTGTCACTTGAATCTTGTAAGATTGAGCTACTTCTRTTGATTGTCCTCTGTTGTYTTCTGTGACAGATCAKCTTYTGTCAGTACTTGCTGTTTTACTTTTTCTATACTTTTACATTTAWGGAATGAGAGCTAACAATCTCCCCCTAAGTATAAAAAAGTAAATTAAGCTATAAAGTGCAAGAGCATGACTTGATTGAAAGAAATTACAAAACATAAAAGATAGAGTTTGATACAGGCCATATACTATTACAGAGGTTTAACCAACTTCAGATTCTGGGAAGTCATCTACTGGATGGATCAAATCTGACTTGATGGTTTTGTAGACTTCAAACATCCATTCTCTGAAGTTGATTTGAATTTTGATTGATTCCAAGATCTTTGACACTTCATTCACCCTTAGATGTCCTTTGTCCAGTTCTGCCGCTGCCTTTCTGAAGATCCATTCAAGTGTCTCTGTCGAAAACTTGTATGTCTCTGTTGGATCATAGATGCGTAGGATTTCGTCTTTGTCCAAAAACACAAATCCATAAATGGGGTTGTGAATGATGGTGTTTGGTGAATGCCTATGAATCCAACTTGGCCTGCTATTAGGAGGAGAAATATTTAGATCTTGTTGAACAAACCTCATTGCAAGCTCGAAGTCCTTCTGGCTGTAGTACTTGACTTGTGCGCGTATAACTTCTATCAGTCTTATGAGCGAGATGGAATAGGTAGACCTTCTTTCCATGTAGACGTTAAGTATTTTATGCATGTAAAGGACATCATACACACAAAGATTATGAAAGTCAGCGTCTGTGAACTTGTAGAGATTTCCATCCTTCCTTTTTACAACAAACTGAGCAAAAAGGATAGACTTCTTCAGCAGAGTTCTTGGAGAGATAGTCACAAGTGAAGCAATAGGAGTCTCTGTGAAGACTTGCTCACGCGGCCTTGTAAGTCTGGAGAACTTGAATTTGGCGAAGGCAGAAGGAATTTCGGTGACCACGGGATCATAAGGAGGTTCAATGTCTTTGGCA